TATCATATATAGATATATATATATATCATATATAGATATATATATATCGATGATATATATATATCGATGATATATATATCTATAGATGATATTATATATATCTATAGATGATATTATATATATCTATAGATGATATTATATATATCTATAGATGATATATACCCTAACCTATTGAGCTCCGTGGTGCAGGGCCAGCTGTGTCGCTCCCAGAGCGACTTATAAAGCAGGCAAACGAGTATTGAAAATGAATTTCAGAAATGAGTCATCTGATCAGCCTTTATGCAGACCAACCAAACTAGAACGAATATTGGCCCATAAATCTGAGCACCCGTAAGCCAAAGTCATGTTTTCTGCATCTACATGATGTAAATTGTCATCGGAGCGCCTGATTGGATGGCGTCCTCCAGTAAAAACAGATCTTCCATGTGTGTTTGGTAGGATAACCGTGGATTTACAAACGTGTGCTATAAACTCTTATTTGAATTCATGGTCGGAGCAACCAGTGGCCAAAACAAAGGTGAGACGAACATCTCGATTTAAATGCAGCCATTTTATAGCATATTATTCGTATAAAATAGATAAACAGTCATCTGAGGAACCACAGTCCAGATGGATACACAGGATGCTACATCCATCCCCTCACAGAGCTCAACACATGTAGAGGTCTAACTTAATATTCCCTCATCTGTTAGCATGTCATTCAGTCCTGGTCCTTCACAAAGCGGAGGCACAGCTCCTCTTCATCGCTCTCTGTCTGAGTGCATGCATGCTGATGCCAGACAGGTCGGCAGTCTATCCAGATCGATCCATAAGACTGTCAGTCGTCATCATTTTCTGAGGAGGAGTGTGTCATCTCATCGCGGTAACACAGGCCCAGCAGGCGCAGCTCCTCCAGTGCCTCCTTGTAGTCGCCCATTTCGGGCCCCTGGGAGAGGAAGCTGGGGGCCACGCGGCGGATGTCCAGGGCAATGGCGCCGCGATGCAGCTCGGACAGCCACGAGCCGAGAACGGGACCCGACTGGAGGGACGTCATGACGGGCGCGGAGGAGACCGCGGGGCCCCGAGCTGCAGAGATGGGATTCATTTATTTAAAAAAAACAAAAAACGTTTGTTTTAAGGTACAAACAGAGCGAAATAGAAATACACTCACAGCCAGGCGGAGGAGTCTGGCTCTGCAGGAAGCCCTGAGCGCTGAGCGACTGACTGAATATCTGAGGGAACGGTGGCGTAAGCGCACTGGGTGTAGACACCAACTGTAGACCCCTGAAGAGACGAGATAGAGGGAGCAGGGTTGGGTTAAAATACATACACATATATATACATATATATACACACACACACACACACACACACACACACACACACATACATACATACATACATATATATATATATATATATATATAAACGAGTAAAATGATTGGTTGGTTGGCAGCATGTGACGGGGTGGGGACTCACAGAGGAGACGTAGGATAGAAAGATTGTATGTAGGACGCCAGGACGTCCTCCCCGCTGTGGAGGCCGTGCAGAGGAGTGGCTGGCTGAGTCCCTGGAGGCAGAGAGCTGGTGGATGTAAAAGAGTTCAGCGACACAGTAAAAGGTCATATCAGGTTTGATGTCTGCATCTTTCTACAACTCATTTTCCTCTGACTATCTTCATTTGTAATCCTGTTGACTCAATGTGTTTTTTTTGTATTTTTGTTACCTGACTTTATGGTTAGTTCATTTATTTTTGTACACTTTCTATACATGTAAACTCTACGTTGTTAAGCACTTTTCAAACCGTCCTTACCGCTCATGCTCTTATCTTTTTTAGCACAAACGTGGCTATAAATCTGACTCATCATTTTCATCAATTCAATTTTTAAGTATAAAGCCAAAATATTAAAGGAAAAGTGACAAACATCTAAAAATTTTTTTTTTAAATGTAAGAAATAAAACTATAATCTTTTTACACGTAAAGGGAATCTTCCACAACTAATATCTGTCTTTTTTCATTGAAAGTCGATGTAGAAAGTTATGGTGTGCAGATATGAATGAGACGCTTAAACTGGTCTACCCAGCTTGTCTTGACTTGATATATCAATAAAGTTATATAATAACAATAAGATTTATTTACATAGCACCCATAACATAAAAAGATGCTTAAAGTGCTCGACAAGAACACAAAACAATAAAATTCAAAAAATCCACAACAATAGAGATACAAAATATACAACTAGTAATAAAGTTGATAGTGGTAAAAAAATCAATGTTAAGATATAACAACCATAAAAACAAAAAACTAAATGAACATTAAATAAATATTTAGAAAAGGGTGGAGTAAATAAAAGCAAGATTGTAACGTGTGGTTCATTGTTAACGTGTTCATGAACGTCTCACCTGGTGAGTCTCTGGCCCTCGAACCCTTTGAGTGTCGCCCACTGGCCATAGCAACGGCCGTCGCCGAGTTCCATGCAGGCCGATAGAGGTTTCCAGGGCAACTTGTCCGCGCAGGCGCTCAGGGCGTCGGGGAGAGTGCCGCCGTGCATCATGGGAAAGGGGACGGCGCCATAAGCGGCAACCACCTAAGGTTTCAAATCACACCGTGAGCCCAGAGGCTTCAAAACAAACAGTGGGTCAAATCCAGCAGCAGGAGGTCACCTTTCTGCCAGACACGGCCAGCGAGTCCGCCACCTGCCACATGGGAGAGCTGTTGTTCTTCAGCCTGTAAGGCAAAGTGAGGGCATCGAGGGCCAGAGCCAGAACAGAGCTGGAGTGGTACCACAGAGAGGGCTGAGGCGGGAAAGACAGGAGACACATGGGACCGTTAGACACCGATGAGATCAGATATATATTCATGCACACACGCACATACAGGAAGAGTGTCTCAGAGTCTTAACAGGACCTTAGATCGCAGTCTTAAAAAGACATTTAATTCAAAGACTAATCGTGTGGTTGGGTGTTGTGCTAGTTCTTTTTATTTTCATTCATCATCACCATGTTTCTCTCAATTTAATTTATGTGTTCAATCAAAGTCAATTAAATATGTCAAAATAAGGCATTGAAAAGCTCTTAAAAATATCAAATCTGACCCAGTTAAACTTCCATTAAACATATCTTTAAAAGTCTAATAATAACAAATAAATGATTTAAAAAAAATAAATCAATCAAAGGCTCACATCATAATTTAGGTGGGGGAATGCTACGGGAGCTGAGGGCCGTCTGCCCAGTCCGCCACGCAGGGTCAACGGGCAGAAGAAGGAGCTGTGGGCGGCCATGTTGACCGTCCCCAGCGCGCAGTTCAACACGTGGTAGAGCTCCTTCATCGGAGTCTGCGTGAGCGGGAAAGAACACAGTGAGTTCAGAGGCCCATTCACAAAACATCTGCTGTCACGCACCCTCTTAGCCAGAGTCGGCTGGAGTTCCGTGACTCACTGTATTGGGGTGACTGACGGGCGCCATCCCCCAGGTTAGGATACCTCTTCCGCCGTAAGAGTCCTGCAGCATCTCCGTGACCTTCGACCCAAGGCCGGCGAAGCCATCGGCCAGGTCACAGAAGACCTGGAAACCCTGAGATGAAAAACAGCACGAAATATATCAGCAACGTTTTAACGGAATAGCGTTTGGGAAGTTTAACCTGAAATATCTATTTAATATAATACAGTACAGTCAAATAAAAAAAAGAGTCTTACCTGAAGGTAATCGCACTCCTCTACAAAGAAGTGAAGTTTGTCCTCCAGCTGCTCGAGCACCGAGCCCTGCAGGAGAGCATCTCCCTGGCCAAAGGCCTCCAGACGATGAGCCTCCCTGCACACACATAAGAGACATCACTGTTTGGGGTGCAGGAGGGAAGAACAACAAGCTTTTAAGATGGCTATGCTGTGGCAGCATTTTTGTCTTTATTTGTTTTAGTGATTATCACTAATGGAATATGACAGAATACATTCATCAACATCTGAAAAGGAAGCGTGGGGATTAAGTGCAGCGGACATTGCGACGATCACGGCCGACCAACCAGCCAGACCAAACGCCACCGAACGGACCCAGGGAGGAGAGCCGAGATGGAAGCTAAGCTAACCCAGCTAGGACCTCCACTACCCAGCATGCTCCTGGCTGTCTGACGCCCTGTCGCAGAAAAATAAGATGGATGAAAGCAGCGGGAGGTCGGTGACTGTGCAGCCCACATCGTCACATAGACCTGGATCCATTGTGGTCCAGGATCAAGCTGCACCTGACGGGCTGACAGCAGGACAATGTTTCTCCTCATGTTGAAGTTTTAATGTGAAGATGTCGGCCATATTATCTGACCAGAGAATCTTTTTCTTGCTGCTGTTTACATTCTAATTAAAACAATGCACTACGGGAATGTACTACTGTTTTTGTTGTCATGCGTTTAGTGGTGTTACAAATGGGTTAAAACTGAGCAACCCTGTGTTGCATAATGACAATAAATGATCCTTGAATCCTTTAGATTGAGCCTGCAGAGAGCAGTCTGTGATTAAAGCCCACATCTGTGTAACGCCTGACATCTACTGGAGAAAAGCAGTTCCTGCACCGGCTGGTCTTTGGCACCACCTGAGTTTTTAGGGAAATTAAATTCACCTCATTTCGGCGAAACACAGTGCAGGAAGTGCGACGTGGCACCTTACCCGTCATGGTTGTACTGGTGGATGACGGAGACGGTGCGAGGGTGCAGGTGGATCCTGAGGAAGTCGGACCACACCTTCACGCTGCCCTCCAGGCGGTAGCCCTTTTGGACCCGAGCTAGCTGGCTGTTCACGGTTTCCACACTCACTGCACCTGCTGGGGGGGGGGGGGGGGGAGTGTCTAGAATGGTCGCTGCCGAGTGACACTAAATCTTGAGTATGTCGTGCAGAGTTTTTAAAGAAGGTTTCCTTTAAGGGTTTTCTCACCTGAGCGCTGACGCAGGGGACTGGAGTAAAAACTATCTTCAGCAAGGACCTCCCCTTTCTGGAGACAAGAAAACAAAGCTGTCAGGTTAACTGTTTGTATGAAGCTGCAACACTACGCCTCTACTGTAGAATTAAAAAAGAACAAACAAAAGCAAACATGATGTGCATTTCTATAAGCAGTGTGGATGCTATCAAGCTGGTAAAAAAGGTAAACAGACGGACACCTTTGTACACAAATGTACAATCAATTCATCAATTCATACTAGATCAAGATACTTCTTCAGATGTATAGACCACCATTATTATAAATGTCTTGGCATCACTGTGTCAAGTCAATATTGTGAAGGAGAATCGTACGTGTCGTTTCCACCGCAGATACTCACATCCAGCTTTTCCAGGTCTTCGAGAAAGGAGTTCTTCTCAGCTGGACTTTCTTTGTGCATCATGAGGCTTCCCTCCCTGCAGGATGGAGCTCATTTTTGTAACATAAAAAAAAAAGACGAAGAATTGTCCAAACAGAAGTCTGTCGGGCCCTTAAATGTGTAAACACATGCGCATGCAGAGACTGTTCTTTACCACGTGGCAGGGGAGGTGTCGTTGCTGGCGTCATACAGACTTCCCTCCTGCCGTAGAGTCCGGAGACTTCCTGTTACGGGGCGAGAGAGAGAAAGAGACAGGTGATTCAGCTGAGCAGGCGTCACTAGTTCCTGTACAGACCTGTATCCAACTAAGAAACAAAACCGTTAATTATGTGATTAAACTAGTACACACAACGTACATTTAAATCAGAACAGAAATATAAAGCTGCTCCAGCAAAGCAGATGTTTTCAGTATTAATTTAAAAAAGCGTGCGATAGGAAGACGTTACCTTTGAGATCCATGGCGATGAGGCGAGGTGTGTGGGTGACATGTCCGCCCGGAGTCTGTCCTTCACGAAACAGGACGTCACTCTGGATCTCACTCGGTGGCGTCTCTGGATCGTACGATAAAGACGCATCCTGCATGCAAACACAAGCCCGTCGTCAGTTACCCGTCACAGACTGAGATGGTAAAATGTGTATTATTATCTTTATTTAAACACCACAATAGGTCCATTTACATAATGATTTAGTTTTTAGACCCTTTACTTGAGAATAAACACTCATACCAAACTGTGAAAATACTCCAATGCAAGTAAAAGTCCTGGATTCAGAAAGTAAAAGTATGTAGGTATTCAGTGTGCAGTAAAGTATTGTTACCTGTCAGTATTGTACTGTATATGATGCCACTGTATCAATATTACTGCTGACTTCATATGTATGTTGTATTTTACTGCTGTAGATGTTTTTAAGTCCTTTATATAAAGTTGGGTAGTTTAATTTATGATAACATCATCATACTCTTTTTATCGTGAGCTCAGAAAAACAGTGTTGTTTTTGTGAAGATGCAACTTCTTCCAGCTGGTCCAAGAGGCTTTTTATTAGATAGTGTATTTGGCTTAAGAAGAAAGATCATTTTCTCAACCCATGAAGGAACAATTCATATTTCAGTTTATCAGAAAAAATAAACAAATGTGGATATACATGGTTTTCACTAGACAGGAAACGTATAAAAGAGTTTTAATCTGAAAAGTAACTAAAGTTGTCAGAGAAATGTAGTGCAGTAAATAAGTACGATATTTCCCTCTGAGGTGTAGTAGAGTATCAACCACAGACTGTATACAACAAGCCATCAACCACAGACTGTATACAAAAGCTATCAACCACAGACTGTATACAACAAGCTATCAACCACAGA